GAAAATCTACGCATAATGTAAAAAAGATATTTTTTCTGTAGAATCTATATATTAACTAGCATTAACCCGGCGCGCGTTGCTGCGCTAACAAAATACATCTGTCTGTGTGAAAAGCATGTTTTTCCTACATTTAAACCGACGATAGTCAGGGAAAGCCCAAGCGCCTTATAATGGTGATTGCGAAAGCAAGACACTAAGGAAATTGTAGTTGCTTAAATTCAGAGGGTAATTCGGATGATATCATCAGTATTCTTGGGATTAAGACTATTTCTCCCTTAAACCTACCACTGATAGTTTTTGCTTTAATCAATTTTGACGTCATTTTTTTTAATTGTTAGTCTGGTAACGTTGCACAGCTTCGGTGGATTTAAGTTTCGCATTAGTATTATTGGAGTTCCTTCTTTTAATTACAGTAATGTGGTGGGTTAATTAAAAATTTTGAGGCATTTGAATATCCGAGATAGCACGCCCGATTATTATTCACAATTTTTGTTAGATTGTGTGGGTATAGAACGAAAGATAAAAATATCAAGGCATTGTCATCCCTTTTATTGTTTATCATACTTTGATAAAGGTTTTTATGTTTTTGTGGAGAATTTAAACGTTGTTGAATGCACAGGTGTGCTGCGATTGGGGTTGGACTTATTCAAAAGTAAAATAGTTTTCTGTGCTGCACTCTGTAGAAACACTGTGGCACTATTTCAAATCATGACTAATGCTAATACAGCATGTTGTGATTATTCAAACCTACAAAACAGTTGGTGAAAGTAAACATCTGCTTGTGAATTATATTTATTTGTAAACATTGCAGATCAAAAAGTCTGACATTGGCCCACTTGAAACCCTCTTGGGCAGAGCCCTTTTGACGGATCTGCACCAAACTTCACTCGAACTATCCTTGAGAGATGCTGAATGCCTGAAAGTTTCATTACAATTTGTCGAGCGATTTCGGAGTCCATGACGTATATACATATACACACATACATACATACATACATAGTTCCTCTTTTATAGATATAGATAGGCGTGTGCATCGCAGGGAAAATCTACACATACTGTTAGAAATATATTTTCCTGTACATGTACAAAATCTCTTTAAAAATTAAAATAGGCTCAAATATAAGCACAAAAAATTAATTTTAAATTAAAAAAGACGAGGTGTTAGCCCGTCCTACGTACGGGAATTCAGTAGTCAGTTAAAACCGTGTACAATTCAGATCAGGTAGTTTACACAAAGACAAAGTTTCTTGCAGTTTTAATGAGAAAAATCATCTTGTAAACAAATGTTGTGTGACCAAATATGTTTTTATTCCATCATAGGCCTATACGATATGCATTTTAAATCCAAAAATTTTACAATAAAACAGCAATTCTGCAATTTGTTCGATGTTAAAACCGTTGAAGTGAGATTTGCAGCCGTTTCGCACAGACGCACACTGATTATAAGTAGCCTACAGTAGAGAGAGTAGTGTATAGACCTAGTCAACGATACCACCTTCCATAGCATACCTGCCTCTTCCATAATTATTATCACCACAATACAACTACTATACACAATTTCCAGTAGGTCTGAATAGAAACTACCTAAAATAAAACGATAATAACCAATAAAATTCACAGTACACATAATTTAACTTTGGTGTCCTAACATCAAAACTAATCGTCACACCTATCACTGCATTAATTGCTAAATAAATAAGCGTAAACAAAGAAAAGTAAAAACAATAACAGTTTATTTTGAAACAGCTGTTTGGTTCAAATAACATCAATTTAAAAAAGAACTGGTCACATGTAGCAGGAATATAAAAAGTAAACACGCTAGTAAAGCTAATGACGAAATTGTCAATGATAATTATCCATACCGTTATCAGTTCTATCCTTGATAATTACCCACCCTCATTGAATAAATGTACATCGTAACTTCCTATATTAGTTAATTTAAACTACAATATATTCATCGTTGAAATAAAAGTGATATTTTCACGTTTGGGGGCGCTGATATAGGCGCCCCAAACGTAACCACAACTGAACACGATTTCATAAAAGGATGGGTTGTCTAATTGCAGTATCCTAGGTCAATGTTGACGTTGTGTTCAATCTATGTCATCCATCTATTTATCTTTGTATAAAACCCGGCTGATGTTGTGGTGGTAATTTAAAATCGTGATTCCTGATTATTCTTGATCTTCTTTTTATGACATCAATATTTCCGCGCCTAATCCAAACAAAGTTAAACCAGACAAACATTAATTGTAAACAAAAAGCGTAGCAAAAGTGCTTGAAAAGTGTAGCAGTAAAATAATTTGCATTTATCCTTTTTTATTAAGACTCGTGTTCAGAGCCTCGATTTGTACTGTGGTTCAATTATTTTTTTTTTAAATTGTGGTCTAATTATCTCTACTAATCTTACTTATTTACTATAATCAATGACAAAATAAGAGTAAATAAAATAACCTCATAATTCCATAATTGATATTTAACCAGCTGTTAGTAAAAACAATAGTATATTACGTTACTAGTCCTGAAAATAAGTGTTTACCGGACGAGTGTGGTCGTTCCCTAGAGGGATTACCATACGAGTCCGGTACACACATTTTGGACGAGTTACGTACGATAGTTTACGCCATACTACTATATTCGTACAAATCCTTATTTCCACCAACTAAAGGACTAAAAATCACTAGTCATAACCTCGTTTTTGTTTATAACTACTCACTGCCACCTAAATACAGTATAATCAGCTGATTGGTGTCCGGCAAAACTCATTGCAGCACAGTAGTACGCAATGAAACCCCATTTGAATAAGCTGGCGGCAAACAGCTGTTTTCTGGACTAATTCCTAGCGTGGGAAGTTCGTCAAAATAATGTAGTGTGGCGTAAATTATATTACTCTAAAACAAATTGAAGATTACAAAGATTGCTTTAAAATATAATTTGAACATCCTAGTATTTTACTATGTATATTTAATTAATCTGTCATCCTCTTACAGAAGAACTGAACGTATCAATGAATAGCATTACACATAGTATAAATAAGTCAACCCTTAGTATGTCTTTACATTTTTATCCAAATGCTGAATTTGTGACACAAAAGCTGAATGTTTACAGCTGTTATGTTAAGCAAATTATTTTATGCCAAAAGCTAGTTTAGAATCTTAGCGTCGGCTGCTAGACTTTTTAAAAATTAAAACTTAATTTCTACAAATCTGGGGCCCTAAACTAAAATTATGGCTTCGACATTCCCTAGTTTTCAAAATTATCTTTCTTTCAACACAAAAATCATGAAAATCCGTCGAGTGGTTGATTCAGAATCGTGAAATAAAAAAAACCCACTTTCGTTTTAATATTATAGATAACATGGGTTTTATGGGTTACCATGCTGGTGACAAAATAACAACGAAATATAAACAGAAAATCAAAACAAATGGAAAAAATTAAAACACATGTTTTATTTACAGCGTGGGGTGAAAATATAGAAGCCTGTACCTTTGACTTACATCTATAGACATTCCATCCCTATGTTAAAGTTGTCACAAGTTTTAATTAAATTCGTCGTAGTTGATGTGGGCCACCTAGAAATTGCGCTGATCTAAATGACTAATTTCTCTTGAATACACGATGATTTTTACCAAGTCAAACTTATGGAATGACTTATTAAGAGCTATAGCAAACTGTTATGGCCTATCAAACTTTGTCAGCAACACAAAATAAGATTGAAAATATAATTTTAGACAGGCATACTGTGACTGGTTCACACAACCACATGTTTTTAATAAAAGAAATGGCGACAACAGGTCCATATAAATGGAATGTCTACTTCAGTATCCAATATTCAATGCGGGTACATATTACATATTTTTGGTCCAGTTTTCGATCCCTGGACGACCACTAGTATATTGTAAATTCCCGGAGACATCAAAACTAGTAAATCCGTCCAGATTTTACCCTAAGACTTTTGGTAATAGCTTACCCAGACAGCACACTTTATCCCAGGGACATCCCATAGTAGTCCCATATGTCCTGAGAATGTCTCGGGATATGTACGCTATCCTCAGAATATCCCGCAAAATCCCGGGACGAGTACGAAATCCACAGGATATCCTACAATATACTGTAATGTCCCGGGATTTGTAAGTTAACCTCAGGATATCCTGTAAAGTCCCGGGATATGTACGAATGCCATAGGATATCCCAGAATGTCCCATGACATCCCGGGACATGTACAAAATCCACTGGATATCCTGTAATGTCCCGTAATGTCCCGGTAACAAACTGAAGGAAAAAAATACTACCACTGATGAAATGTATATCTAAATTTAAATGTTCAACAAGGCAATATATAATAATTTTTTTTTCGCTAGCGCTTTCAGAAACTAGGTTTCCATCTTCAGGCTGTGTTTACACTAGTACGAAAAGTAAATATTTACTTAATAAATTAATTTTAAACAAAGTTAAAATAGATGATTTAAAGGATATTGGAAAAATAAAAAATTATATTAGAAAAATTATGTAATCTTTTGAGTTTTGGATATATTACAGTGTTGTTCTTGATGTAATTAATTTCAGTAATTCCGAATTTATAATTGGGCCGTCTTCATTATTTAAATAAGATTCCCACGCATTAAGATGTTGAGGTTTTATAATTTGTTTTAAAAGTTTAAGGTTTCCCAGATTGAAAATATGTCTTGTTAATACTGTGGCTGGCAAGGGCTGACTTAATTTTACTGACATATTACTACCACTGAGTTCAGGAAAACCAGAGTTCTATCATAGTTGTGTGAAATGTGAATTAAATTCTAACTTTAAATTAATAAAACAATCATATAATTAAATTAATAAAAGGAATATATTCCTTACATGGGAATTTTGCTAAGAGCGGGCTTTAGGTTACTATTTGTTTTTCGAGAGGCAATTTAACTTATTTTAAAATGGTTATAACCAATTAAACGATTTGTCAACAAATAATAGCTGAACCGCTTGTACTGTATTATAACAAAAAAATTTAAGCTCAGACTTTAAATCCGCCCTCAAATTAAAGGAAAAGAAAAGAATTCGTTGGGTTGATGTTAACGTAACATGAAGTAATATAAAACCGGCTTCAATTGTTACAGTGTGATCCCTGTTACAGTATCCCTCCTTTATTAGTTTTGCCGTTAGTTTTCGCATACCGCATCTTGATGTAGTTACATTGACATAGTTTATGATAATTTGTCCTTTCAGTTTCGCTTATTTAGATATTTCGAAGTAAAGTACGATTTGTAAAAATAAAACGGTTTACCAATGCGTTTCAAAGACCATTTTTTCTATTTTTACTGTCAGTTGGTTAGTTTTTCCTTAGCCGATCGTTTAGTCGTCAACGTCGTTTCATTAAAAATGCGTTTTGATTTCTAACAAAAACTATAATGCATAAACCTAAGAATTAAAGGACAGGATTTGAGAAGTAGATTTAAACTGAAACTATTGTTGTTACAATGATTTACACTTAACATTTATTTCTAAAACTATCAATAAATAAAATGACGAATGCCGATGTAGATGCCAAGGTGGGATGAGTGAGTGTGAGAGAGACAAAGAGATGGTAGGTGGGAGATGATACAGTCTTCTTACAGCGAGGGACACCCTGTAAATGAAACAAACGATAACATTGAAACATAGCAATACAACGGTACGATAATTAGATGGTTGTCTAAGGGGAGGGAACACCAATTGTGGGACAAATTACATGGTTAATGGCGTTTTGATGTTTAAATTTTAATTCTTTGAAGTATTGAAAAGATGAAATGTTATTACAATTATATATATTTAAATATAAATTATAATATTATTATGCGCATTTTTGCTATTTGAATATTATTTTGATGGTATTGATTTAATACAAAGCAATATAACTAATGACTTTGGCTCGTCAATTTCTTCTTTTGGGGCTGCAAATGTGCTACAAAATAACTTGTGAAGATCTAACATGAGATACTTACGGCACACGTGACAGTGTTCCTCGTCACTGCCGTCGCCGCATCCGTCTCTGCCGGAGCAGAGGACAGCCGTGCTGCGACACCGACCATTGGCGCAACGGTAGGGGCAGAGTCCCTGGGACACGAGGGCGGAGGCTTGACAAGCGGCCTGAGGCTCGTCGCTGCCGTCTGGACAGCTGAGGTGTGCGTTGCAGAACTCGTACGCCGGCAGACAAGTGCCTTCAGCACATCTCAGAGTGCCCGCGGGACAACCTGTGAGCATGGGAGACAGCATGTCGTAGTAGTGGAGGGTAGACGTTTATAATAATTACAGCAAATGTTTTCTTTTAGGATTTGGGTTTTTTGTTTTGACTGCTATCTGCGCTATTTCTGTACGTATGCCTACTCTCCGTATTGTGATTTTCCAACTTTGGCTAGGTCTTCAAATGCCATGGAGATTATTAGTATACAGGGTGAACAACTCAACTGTGCCACCATTTTAATCTCATCAACTGTTACATTTAGGGACAACTTCAAATGGGGGACTTCGCCTAGATTTAATAAAAATCTGAAAAATGAAATTCAATTTGTTATAAATATCCGCCATTTTTAAATGTGGTGGCTGTTAAAGCGAATTTCCCTATAGGGAATTGGATATTACCATAGGTGGCAAGGTAAGACCCAGATCGGGGACCAAAATACTCCTTCATTTTAATTTCCCCAGAGGCCAAAAACATCCACCAATAAGGAAACTGAATGCAACTCCACCTTATCTTGGCCACATACAGATTGGCCAATGGTTAAAGGGTCGTTCCTAACATACAGATTGACCAATGGTTAAAGGGTCGTTTCTAACATACAGATTGACCAAAGGTCCTAATGAGCAGTGACAAAAAATGGGGGAGGAGCTTGTCTATTCACGTGAATTGTTTGTCAACGCTTTCTAATCTTAACGGTCACAGAGGTGGCCAAACTCAAGAGAAGCATTTAATTTTGTAAAACATTAAGTTTTATATAAGCTGTTAAGTAAACAAAAATAAAGTTCTTAAATTCGATTACAGCTTAAGTACGGTATTCTAAGGCAAATAATAATAGTTTGTTACAAAATTTTTTATTTGTTTTACCTACTTCTTGTTGAAAGAAATTGTTGCTGATCTTATAGAATTATGTCATTATAGGTTTTGTTGTCGTCTTGTTATTGTTACTATTTGTTGAAGTCTAATATTGTTATCTTTTTTGTAAAAGTTTAAGTTATTGTTATTCTTTTTTCGGAGTCTTTATTCTTCACTTGTTATTGCTTACTAAAAATGAAATGTTACGACCTTGCCTTTTTTGAACTAATTTGAAAATTTGATTGTTTGTTGGATGTAGTTGTTTTCAATTCATTCTGTGTTAAATCAAACTGTGAAACTGGACATTGTTTTCTACCCATCATATTTGTATTACTTTTGTATTGGTGTATCGCCGTTTGTAATAAATAATAAATAAATAAATACTTATAGCAATAATTAAGGTAATGTTACAATTTAAAAGTCCTGGAGTTTTCTTTCAAGATTCAAAGCATACGCATTCTCGTTTGTAGGTGTAGGTCCCTTGTTTGAAAACTACCTCGAATCTCTGCCTTTAGTATTCCACACACAATGTTCAGTTTTAAGTTTACAAAACTAATCCAGAAACATTCAGTATGGGAGTAGTAGTTATTCAACAAAAGTTAAAAAAAGGACAAAGATATAGGCTTATTTGTAAGTAAAATAGCCCTAAGAAAATGTTCTACCACAGAGTATTAATATCTAATCACTTGTTCATAATTGATCCGAACTAAAAATAAAAATTATAAACCACAAATAACATTTTGCCTTAAAATTCCCACATAAATAACAATACGTTATTAATAACTTTTTCAGTCATTACTTTTTCAGTCAGCTACGTTTTCAGTTACCGTTGAAAGAAAATAATAACTCCACACTGCATTTATCCATTTATCAGAGTTATGTATTTGTTACAAATTAAACAATCTAACCAAAAACCATGTTTATAAAAATATCAATACGTATTTACGTATAAATTTTCAACTATTTACAAAACTATATTGGTAATAATATAAATGTAAAAGAAAAAACATCGTTAACCACAAAAAAACAAGAATACATACAAAAAGACATGTACAAACTCTAAAATATAAATAAGAATATGAATACTAGGCCTACTGGAATGGAAAATATAAAGCAATAACGAAAATCCAAATAATCCAAATCAAAATACAATTCAAGGGCAATTCCATGTTTTACCGAAGCATACATAAAGATTTGAAGGACAATACTTGACGTTTAAAATGCATATCTACTTATTTATGCAAAATTTGTACATTAAAACCTTCCGCAATGGAAGTGTATAAACCATAAAAGTATATCGATAATAATTTAAAATGAAAGAAAACAAGAAAATCGCTAAGAAAATCGCTTTGGAGCTAATCAGTAACAATCATGAATATAACACCAGAAATCGGGGCTGTATCGCAATGAGCTATCACACTCTGGAACTTTTCAAAAAGAAACCTAAATATGCTGGTTCAAAATTTTATAACAAAATTCCAAAAAGCATAACAGATGAGGTGTCAACCAAAAAATTCAAAATTAAATTGAAGCAGTACCTCATCAGCAAAGCTATATATTCTTTCGATGAGTTGTAGGAGGTAATGTCAATTTTTGCATAGCCTATATTGTTAATTCTAAGAAACCTTTGTTTTTCATTTTTCAATACCTGTATATTTGACACTATTTATGTATGTATTGTATACTACTAACAAATAAAGATTATTTGAATTTGAATTTTGAATTTGAATTTGAAAAGTATTACAGGTGCACTTTTTAAACGAATAACAGTCATAATTTCTGATGACTTTAAAGATTCGACTCAAAGATTTTGGAAATACTCAAGATGTACATAACAGATGGATATAATCAAAATTTCTTGTAAATATCTTATCATTTTTCAAAAGCTGATCTTGTTTTTTAGTGTTTTCTACAAATAGCCTTACAGCCGCATTACGCTGTCCATAATAATGATTATACATAAAAAAACATTATTTCAATTTCTTCTCCATGGTGGTGTTCCTTTCAATGATTACTAAGAAATGCAGCACAGTGTTAATTCAGTTTTCTTTTTAGTATATCAAATTATCCAGGCTCTCTCGCTTTTTTCCATTGTAATATTTACGGCAACCCAAATTCAAATAGTAAATATTTCATTTCAACCAAGTCAGTAAATGTTTTGTTTGTAGCAAACTGTTAAATTAGCAAACGTTTTGACTGTTTACAATTAACATTTGTTCTTCTTCTCATTTTTAATTTCTGACAACAGCTGGAGTTTCATAAAAATGTTTGTTTCCCATATTAATCTTATGGAGAAATACGAAACTTTAAAGTGCCGTAAGGCCTCTCTCTCTAATTGTTTCCTAAATAATGGAAATCCTCCCTGGTGTAGAGGATGATGAAAGCTTTAAAATGGCCCCTTATTTAAGGAAATGTATGGAAAATAAAGAAGTTCTGGGGTACCTAAAAAAAGGCACTTTGAAAAATATAATTTACATAGATTTAATTATTATTTTTTTATATATATTATAGGCAAAAGCTCAATCCTGCTTATTGACTATCTAATTTAAGAACTCTTAATGCATTACAGTACTATCATTTTATACAGGGTGGTAAAAAAGTCCCAGGACAGTTAAATATTTAAAAAAACAATGCAAATAGAGCTACAATACTTGATACAAAGTTACAGGGCATAAAACTCTATTTTAACACATATTCAGTGATCCAATAACTCTTCAGGGGGACGGCCCACAAGGAGTTGGAAGAAAATCTTAAATGGAAGCATAGGTCAATATGCACAACAAATAAATGGTCTTTTTTAGTAGAATACAGTGCCGCAAACCGCGCTTCAAAAGGTTGATCCTGCGCAAAATGACAGTTGTTCAAAGATTTCTTGAATCCGCCATTTTGAATCTTTGAATGACTGCCATTTTTAATATAGCATTTAAAATATATGCAAAAGTACAATTCATTGACCACATGGCACCAAGGAACAATTCTCCTTGTAAACAAATTAAATTAAATAGCAGAACAGCAATTCTGACAACAGCTGTAGTTTATTAACAATGTTTGTTTCCCATGTTAATCTTATGGAGAAATACGAAACTTTAAAGGGCCCCACGGCCTCACTCTCTAATTATTTCCCTAAAAAGAAAGTTTCCTGCACAACTTCACGTTACGCTCTTTCCAATGACACCAAAAACATGTCAATCGGTTCAGTAGTTTCGGAGGAGTAATAATTGTCACAAAAAACTTGCTTGCATATTAAATAAGTATAGATAAATAAATGTGTATTATATAAGTTCAACTTGGTGTACACAATATACATTTCACTATAAAGATTGTATCATTTTAGCGAATTTCCCATTTAGGGTACGATAAGCTATCACGGGTAGGTCTCATGGTAAGACTTGGGTCTGGGACTATTTTACTTTTTCTTTTAGATGTCCCCAGTGGCCAAAACATCATCCGTTCAAATCCATAAGACGAGCAAATTATTATAAATTATTATTGATGTGTGTATTAAATAAATACACATATCAATAATAAACAGTTGTTTAACTGCCAACCAAAATCTAATTATGTAAAAGAAATTAATTGAAAATCAAAATTTTTAACATTGGGCTTATGGGTTGTAGTAACCATGTGGTTGAACAAAATAACAAGGAAAAGTAAACAAAAGACTTGTAAGTTGTTACCTGTTAAGCCATCTACCCACAGTATACTAGCAAAATACAGAACACAGTACGAATGGAAAAACATCAGTTGTTTTGTTATGGCTCGGTCCCCAGGTAACATTTCCTTAAAACTGTCAGATTTATTTTCTATTTAACTAATACAGAAATAACAATAATAAAACTAATAAACTAAAATTACTTTCAGAAGTTGAAATGTATGAGCGAAGGAATATGCTATATGTTGACCAACGATCACATAAGACCAATGGTCTTATGTGATCGTTGATGTTGACAAACACTTGAATGGACAAGCTCCTCCCCCACACGGGACATCACTGTTGTAAGCTCCTCCCCCTTTTTTGTCACTGCTCATTATCACCTTTTGGCAATCTGTATGTTAGAAACGACACTTTAACCATTGGCCAATCTGCACGCGCGCCCTTAGCTTGATGAAAGTTTGTTTTTGTTAACTCAGGCTTATTTAGGCTACTTGGGATGATTATAA